CTGAAAAGCAATGGAAAATATCCTTGGGTGAGGGTTAAAAAAAAAATTTTTTTTAAGTTAGGTAATATTATGTATGAGAACAGCGCATTATACTTGTTCAGCCTGAGGCTTTCCACCTACTATTTTAAAATGACTAGATAACCTGCTTTTTCTTAATTTGAAGATCGTTTTACTGCTTTTGCTAAAATGCTCTAGTGTTGTTGTAGAATGTCAGTGACATTATGCATTAAATATCTTACGGTGGCCAAATTGTTCTGCTGTTCAGTTTTCTAGAAGATACTTGATTTGAGAAGATTGGGAAAGATTGTCTACTGGTTATATATGGACAGCCAAATTTAAAAAAGAAATGAAGGCCAGGAGAGAGAAAAACCTTATAGTCCAAAAGATTTCTTATGTTTCATGGAGCATCTGATTTGGACAGTACGTGGCAGCGACTAAAATGCTGAATGAACGGAGATCATGATTGAATTAGGGTAAATGGAAATGACCTAGTAAAGATAAAACATGGACAGGATTTGGGACTAACTAGAAACATATTTCAACTGGAAGGCCATTGTAAGAAGAGAGATAGTGATTGCATATTTAAAAGTATTTTAAGAACAACAGCAGTTATATTTGCTCTGACTTGCATATTTCTTATTGTGTGCCAAAACTCTCAAGAGTGTTTATATACACAGTATCCGTCTAGTCAACCAGAAAAAAAACTCCATTAGATAGCATCAGGTGAATGCCATATAAATAGCGAGCTTATTGAAAAAAAGTGTGTATGTTACAGTTCATAGTATATTAAATACCTTATTACAGAAACTAAATGCTGTCAAAGTATAATGAAAGTGTAAATATCATCATCACTAGTGTTAGTGCAGCATCTTCCAGAAACAGCCAGGCTTAATGTCTATCTTTGGAGGATTCACTAGGCAACAAAATTCTGTAGGTCCTGTAAGGATTAATTGCGGCTTTGAATTCATCAGAGTTACCTTTATTAAAGAGTTCATTTAAAATACAGAGGACAAAGTGACATCTCAGAAAAGCCATAAAAATTATCTCACTGGTTTGATAATGGGACTCAAAACTGCAACTTCCACCTGATCCTTAGAGTAAGTTACAATAACAGTAAAACAGAAACCATTGGTTGTAGATTATTCCTGCCCTTCTCCCTTTCCCCTCCTCTCAGCCTTTAAATTTGTTTTTTATTTTTTTACTTTTCCCCTCATTNTTCCTGCCCTTCTCCCTTTCCCCTCCTCTCAGCCTTTAAATTTGTTTTTTGTTTTTTTACTTTTCCCCTCATTTTTTTTCAAGTCTCCTTCCCATCTGCTCCTGATCTGCAAGGAGTTTGTTTATTGATAAATAAATAAAGGGAAATTAAAGGGGTCCTCAAAACAGATTTTTAACAGACTGAAAATACACATATATTACTAGTCCTCAAACCCACCTGTCATGTAAGCTGCCCCTTTTCTGAACAACCATCCGCTCTGTTCTAGCCCCATCTCACCACAGAGTCTTTTATGAATAGACAGTTTTTTTAAAAATACTGAATTCTGTCCATAAATTACACATCTCAATATGTTCTCTGTTTTTGACAAAACGAAACAGTATTTGAAAACGCAGAAGCCCAATCCAAAACTAATTACCACAGAGTCATCTATACAGGATTGCATGGTATCGTCTCCTCAATGCTGTGTCCTGCTGCAGAGTGACATGAGGGCAAGGGCTGCAGGTCATGAGCATTTTATAAGCCATTGGATGCCATTATTGTGAACTTCAAGTCATTTTTGGCCTTTGTGCATAGTTGAGGATAAGATATTTGGTTTAGTTTAATTTAGAAAAAGTTAATGGTGAATGGTTGGAACTGGACAGTGTGATATTTACCTTTGTAAAAGAAATTTAGTATTGTGCTTATTAGCTCTAATTAGCAGTAACTTTATAATTATATAAATATCTATACCCAAAATGCATTTTTTGTTTGTTAGCTTTTAAAATACATTTTTTTTCCTTGATTTTAGAGAGAGGGGGGAGTGAGAGGGATAGAGATAGAAACATCGATGAGAGAGAAACATCTATCAGCTGCCTCCTGCATGCCCCCTGCTGGGAATGGAGCCTGCAACCTGGGCATGTGCCCTGACAGGAAATGGAACTGGTGGTGACCTCTTGGTTCATGGGACAGTGCTCAGCCACTGAGCCACCCCGGCCGGGCTTGTTTGTTAGTTTTAAACTCAGAATTTATTTTCTCATGGAAACGTAATTGTAATGTTGGTTATGGTCTCAGAATAGCCCGTAACAGCCCATTTAATGCACAGTGTAGCAGAATCATCATACTTCCAGCAATCAGGTATCCCCACTTCTGAGATCCTAGCAGGAAGCCTGCGATCTGGACTCTAGAAGTGGTCCTGGTAGCAGGTTCGAAGGCCCTGGAGGGACCGCCCCCGGCTGTCAAGTACACTAAAGTGTGACTTTGACGTCCGTGGGCCCAAACCCTGTTGATAGGTAGATACAGCCTGTGTTGCATATTCCAACTCATTTTTCTTCTTTGGGGCTCATTTTCTTTTGGTATAAAAGCTGTACTTGCCCAATAAATCATAGGCTGCATTATAATATTATGGGGGTTTTTTCCCTCCCCTTCACATAGTCACTGTGTGTGAGCAATTGTAACTTTCAACTATGAAAGGTAATTATAATGTGAAACTGAAATCTGCGTGTTCTTGAAGGAGCTGGGAATATATTGACAGCTTTTCCCTTCAAAATTACTTTAATTTCTTTTATCTTCGTTCAGTATCTTATGCTTTTAAGATAAGGACTGATTTTCAGAAGAGCTGTTCTCCTTCCCCGTGTCAGAATCCCCATGGTGAGAGCAGGCTGAGTTTCCACTGAAGGGTGAGAAGCAATTCTCGGTTTTTAATGGCAACCCTGTCAAACCAGTGCTGGGAGGATGCACATGACTGCTGTGGGCTGTAACTGTTGCTGTCCTACACGTGCAGTTTCAGGTGGTTCAGTCTCTCTGCAAGCATGAAAGCCAGGC